GTGGGGATAGCTACATACTGAAACCTCACGAGTTGAGTGATGTTGGATAGTGCCGGACACATAGACACTTTGAGTGAGGATGGCTGCATCTTGAGACCTAGCGGGTTGAGTGACGTTTGCGACTGCCGGACACATAGACACTTTGAGTGAGGATGGCTGCATCTTGAGACCTAGCGGGTTGAGTGACGTTTGCGACTGCCGGACACATAGACACTTTGAGTGAGGATGGCTGCATCTTGAGACCTAGCGGGTTGAGTGACGTTTGCGACTGCCGGACACATAGACACTTTGAGTGAGGATGGCTGCATCTTGAGACCTAGCGGGTTGAGTGACGTTTGCGACTGCCGGACACATAGACGCATTGAGTGACGAAATCTGCATCCTGAAACCTCACAGGTTGATTTGTATTGGAGATTGCGGGACACATAGACGCGTTGAGTACGGATAACTGTATACTGAAAACCCACAGTAGTAGCTAAAGTGAGGGGACAATTCGAGAATGCAGTACACATAGACCCGACCCCCAACCAGTACCTGAACCCCCCCTGAAAAATAAAGGCCATGCGCCCCCCCCCCCTCTCTATCTCCCCCAGAGGATGAGGAGGGTACAGTCCAAAGTAAGCACAATCTGACCTAAGGTTAATGCCTATTGGTACGGCATCAAAAGAATACTAAAGTCCCCCCGGTGTAGGACTTAGAGCTAAGACACCCCAAAACTCTCCGGCGTGAGATCCAAAATGGATCGGGCGGTGGAGGGGAGGGGGAGGTGTTCGTTGCTTGAAGTGGATCATATAAAACATAGAGCCATCAAAGCAAAGCTTATTACTCACGTCGAGCAAACTGAACGACCAGACCAACCACGCAAAATCTGCGGAGCTAGATGTGCGGCACGCACAATGCATTGTTTTCGATTGGAGAGAGGCGAGTATAAAGCAGTAAGGAATTGTTGGCCAAACTTTCGGCAGATAGGTCTACTCGGGAGCGTAAGTGGGGTAGCAACCCATGGTGGAGCGTACATGAGAAGCTGGACGTTGGTGTACGCCCCATCCCGGCGTGTGAGTAGGATCTTAGGCTATGCAAGTCGTCCCTGAACTTATTGTGGTGAAAATGACCTCCTAAGAGGAAAGTAGCCTGTATCGCGGGACTTCGGAGATGATAAATTCGGTGGTCGGGGGACGTCTGGGTGTATACTAAGTAGAGCGCCAGGCACAAGATGTGCCAGGAGGTGTGAACTTGTATCTAGACTACGAGCGTATGTCGGAGGCGCTATTTAGCGTCGGTGAGCCGGCAAAATGACTGAAAGGAACCACAACCCCCGCCGGACACTCGGATTGGGAAGGCCGAGTATTCCGTATACCTTCCTGAAAAAACACGAAAAACAAGTGGCCACGGTCCAGTTGCCGTAGAGATCATGAG